GAGAGGAAAATAAATAAAAATAAGTCGTCGGTTCTCTGATATTGCAAGACCGAGACTGATTATTATTACACTGGAAAAAAAACATATTGGATCTAGAGTCCAGACTCTTAAAAACATCGACAAGAGAAAATACTCTTGATTCAATCAGATTTAAGCTTAAATCAAGAACCAAGCCTCTTAATTTGAGCGGATTTCCTTTTGATTTAAGCTTAAATCTGCTTGAATCAAGAGCCCTTTTTCTTGTCAATGTTTTCAAAAGTCTGGACTCAAGATCCAATGTGTTTTTTTTTTTTTTTCAGTGTAGTACATGAAAATGTAATTGTATCGTATGTGTTTCATATTATGAAATTTTACCGGAGTAAATTGGAACATGAGCTTTACCCTGAACATCATGAACTAACCGCTAAAGTGTGCTGAAAAGAATGTTTCCAGCAAGCGGATTCGTTTTCGAAACTACAGTGCAATTGGCTCATTTGTGCGGATGGTTGCCCGGTGGTTAGATGAAGGCGCAGAGTAAACAAAGGGTAGCCCTCTGAAAGCGAGTGAATCATGATGGCCGAGGGCACGAGCGAATTAATGAACCGCATCAACTTCTACCTGTCTCGCAAAGCGGCGCGGCATGCAGTTTGACAACAATTCCCCGGATGAAATGATGGATGTTGTGCCCCGCAAATCGCGCCTAATAAGCATTTGAATGGAAAGGGGGGGGGGTTTAGGGTTCAAAGCCCCCTTCGAAGCTCGAGGAACGGAACGAAACGAAAGTAATCTACGAGCGTGTTTTCGCTGTTACTTGGATCGCTCGGATCGAAAATGACCCACCTATGCAGAGAAAAAAGAGCACAATTTAAAAAAAAAAAAGAAAAAGATTGGAGCAGGTAATGTTCAATGGTTTCGACATGTTTTTGGTTATTGTTGATTATTATAGGGAGACTACAGCAGACTTAGAGGCCCTGGTAAAAATTGGCAGTAGAATCTGTGTTCCAAAATACCATAGACCTACAGCCGGCTGTAGAATTTCCAATAGCTTCTATAGCCGGCAACACAATTTCTTATAGCCTTTTACAGCCGATGGCGACTAAGCAACAGCCTGGCGATAAAGTGTATGCTAAACGTTGCTAATTACGGATGCCAGGACTTAGTGAGTTTTTGGACTACCGCTCTCTTTTTGGGCCGTAGTATCTTGATTTATTTTACGAGGAAAGCTCCGTGCTTTTGAAGGATGCCTGCCATTCCTAATATGTTGGAACGCTTTCAATTTCGTATGATACTGTGCAATACCTCTGATGCGAAATAGTTGCTTCAAGCGCCGTTGTTCGCTGCGGCGCGGCGCGGCGGGCGGGCAGCCAGCGCTGAACGCGCATTGCCGCCTACAAACCTAACAGGGATACTTCACGCATTGCGCAATGCGTGAAGTATCCCTGTTAGGTTTGTAGGCGCCAGTGCGTCGCCGCTCCGCTTTGTGTTAGGCTCTAGTATTTATTCTCGTGGAGTCAGCGTTTTTCAACTCATGACTTTGAAATGTTTGCGTACTCTGTATGGATTATTCTCATTTTAGTTGATGCAAAAAAATATGTATTAAAGGAAAATATAATGTGCATTTTGTAAATATTAAGGTGATTTTGTACAAACTTCAGGATTTGCAAAGCACACGAATTTCTGCACAATTCCTTATAGCCTTTTATAGCCGATGGCGAAAAAGCAACAGCCAGGCGATAAAGTGTAAAGCCCGGCGGTAGGAACTATAGCTCGGCTGTATAATTGTTTATCGCTTCGTGTAGCCCGGCCGTAGGATTTTTTCCATTTCCTACAGCCAGCTATATGATTTTCTATCGCCTTCTTCAGTCGGCTATAAGAATTCCTATGGTATTTTGAAACGCAGCTCCTATCGTCAATTTTTACCAGGGGGCAGACCCCTAATTACCTAATGCACTTTTTCAGCATTTTTGACCCCCTTGTGACGCTTTTAAGACGTTCTTCTTCAACATGTATAAAAAAAAAACGTCGTAAAGCTTTCCTTGACCCTCCTCCCCCTCGAACTTCACGTAATTTAGGGATGGTCCCCTAGTGGTGCCACAGTTTTTGCTTTTTTCAATGCTCAGCTGGTGGCGAGCACTTTTAGCATTCAACTTGCCACGATAATTGTAAAATAACGGAGGGTTGCAGCAGTTAAACGGCAATTTAGACATTTTCATGATAGCTTGAAAGGAACCTAACATATTTAGGAAATATTCTTCAGAATACCGGCATTACTCTGATGAGAACCTTCCAAAAAGTTGCACCTCTTTTCGAAAACCCGGGGAATCAATTAAAATCCAGATAAAATACAATCTATTCTTGAAGAATGTCTTAATAAAAGTATTATTATTTAATTTTTAGCTTGATTTCAAAGCTCACGCTCAAAAACACATTTTAATGCCGGCAAATGTACAATTTGCACTTCTTTATCAACAAAACATCCTTTGAGCAGCTAAGGACAAAACATTTACCAGAGGCGTGTATCATCATGAGATTTCATTTTAGCCCCATACTTTGATTAAAACCCGAGGTTCCTCGAAAAGAGGCAAGGGCAGGCAATTTTTTGAGAGGTTCACACACAGAGAGTGCCTAATATGAATGCGATACTATGATATCACGCGATAATTCCGTTATATCACTTGTCCTCATAGTTTTGATGGTCGGATGCTGAGCGCAGTATACACATGCTGAAACAAAAGCAGGGGTGTAAAGCACCACTGAACATTTCAGAGATTCCAGAGGCGAACACCGAACAGGCCCAGTCGGAAACAAGGTGTTAGAGGTTGGGAAGTCTTCGGAAGTTACCCGTAAGCGTTCCGAACGGTAGTTAATTGTTAACACGCCACACTGACTCACTCATCATCAAACTTCGCGGCACTCCGCACCACCCTCTCGACACAAGACCGATGGTGCCAAACTTGGCGGAAAATCTCAAACTCTGCATGGAAATATCAGATGAATTTTGCGAGTATTGGATGAGTACAGCATACATCCGCATTCCCTCAGGGTACTGACGGTCTCCTCATGTAAAGGCTCTTGTAGCCTCAAGTGCTTAGTTTCATTAACTTAAGTCATTGGCGTTACATGCTTTGCGATGTATCGATTGATTTACCATTCGAACCTATGAAAAACGATCGATTATCAGGGCGTTTGCAACGAGCACCATAATAATCGATTCTTTACCATAGCTTCAAATGGGATGATATCGATAATCGATTATCACGCCTAGCCACTGTATAAGTGACTGAATAATGGTTGGTTAGGAAGCTTTAATGTTCCACCATCATAAACGATTGCCGATCTTGGTTTGAAGATGATTCGTAGGAAATCGGATTGCAATGTAGCTCAAGAAAATGGATCACGTAAAACGGCAGACGAACGAATATATAGACAAAAAATGAAAAAATGCGAGATAATTTAAAGATTCGGATCATCATGAGGTTTGAACCTGCTATGGGCAGCTACCTACAGAAAACTGACGAAGTTATAATCGATGCTAAAACACAATCTGTGTACACACTTTCCAGTATTACGTTTTAATATTAGTCCGATTTCTAAAGGAGATTCGACGGGTTTTCAGCAAAGAACCAAAATCGCAATGCGAAAAAGAATGGTTGGTTGGTAGATACGTTTATTTGGTGCTTTTAACAATTTAGCCATTAACACCTTAGAGGAGAGATCAAAATATGGTACAGAATTAAAAAATTTAAAAAGTAGGGGTCACAAAAGGTAGTGCAAAATTAAAAGTTAGGACAAGGAAATAATACATTAAATTTGGAGATTAATTTAGAACGCTCAGTGAGTCAGCCATTATGACGATGGATTGAAGAGTTTGCTCGTCTGTAAGATATATTCGCCCAAAACGAATTTGAAATTCTGAGAATAAGATTTTGCACATATGAACGTAAATTTTGCATACAGCATTGGTATCATTATGAAAACATGAACGCATGTTTCCAAAGATGCGTAGATGCTACACCATGGAAACTCACTCGAACTTTACAATACGCCCTTATGCAGGCAAACTTTTTGATTGTAGTGAAAAAAAAGAGGCTACTGACTAAATACAGGAACGAATTTTGTCATTGTAGGCGCTTCCTTATAAAGCCAAAAAAGTGGTACACCTGGCAACATCAACCAAGAATAATCTGAACCACATCCTTCCGAATTTCGAGAGAGGGTTCGTTATTCAAATTCCGCACACATTGAATAGTTGGCTTCATTTTGAGTGTGAATTGAGTTCCCTCGAGAACATGGAGCGCTGATTATTTCTCTTCGGTGAAATGGTCAAATCACACTAGAACTCACCATGATCAGGCTAAAGAAACCTCCCAATATTTCCCTACTTTCTACAAATTCTACACGCAAAATTTATTCGGTATTTTTGTAGATTCCCCCTCCTCCCCACTTTCCTCGATTTGAAACTTTAATTACTTTAATGGGAAAATTACAATCGCACGTTTGGAGTAAAGATTCCATTCCACCTGATTAATTTTAATATCTACAGACATGAATTTGGAGGTTAAATAAAGTCATCGGTCCAGTCGAATTTGGAAATATTACCCATCAAATGTAAACATTTTTTGCTTGCAACAACTGAATTATTTGAATGGTATTGGTAATTGTAGCATAAGTAGTAGTCATACACGTTTTTGAAGTGGAGAAAAACATAAAATGGGATACAATGGGGAAAGTTGATTTGCAATGGGATGTTAATAATATCTGCCAATCTATGTATCGCTATTTTAGGGACAAAAATGCCATAACATCCTGGGTGTCATTTGAGGAGAACCTAGGTTTTTGGTTTTCTTTCCCCCATTTTCTCCATATAACGATTTCTATCTTTCTACAATAGAGCATGGCGCTCCTTAAACCTCCCTCCTCAATTATCATGAGTGGTTTATGGAATGCTTCAGTTACCTAGCTTTTTATTAACTTTATACATGTCAAGGAAATCTAAGAGAAATGTGGATTGAGGTACTTACTTGGGTCATTGCCGTTGATTTCCTTCTGATTCAGCTGGGCCATTTTGGTTTTGGTGATGTCTTTGTGAGACGCGAGGAACAAAACCACCTCCCGTTTTTCATTCTTGATCGGGACGATGTCCAACAGGCACCAAAATGGAGAACCTACAAACAAACCAATAAAAGGATGCATCAGTAAAAGCAGAAGAAGGAACGAAAAAAGGAACGGATTAAGAAATTTTGATTTATGATACAAATTTTTATGGAAACAAAACTTATTTTCGTCAGTGACGCCAAAGCTTCATACACTGAGAAAAAACTATGGCTTATAAACCTATTAGTGGTAAATATGGAACACCACTAATAGTAGTACCTCTACATATAATAATATCACATATACCTTAGTTATGGTCTCTGTACCTTAATTAGGTACAGAGACCTTAGTATGGTTCACAGACCGAGAATCATTAGTTTATTTACGACTATTATAGGTGTTCCATATTTACCTCTAATAGGTTTATAAACCATAGTTTTTTCTCAGTGTATAATACATGTATATAATGCTCCTCGTGGCAACTCGGAACTTCCTCAATAAGTTCATAATTTTCACAGAATGTTCCTCACGTGGAAAAGGAAAATCATGGACGTTTTCAAGAGATGACATGAAATTGAGTTTTTTTTTTTATTTAAAAAAACAAGGCATGACAGGAAGCTTTTCAACGCGCTCCTGTGTCAAACCGCTTTACCTGTATCTTTTACGTCAGAAAATACTGGAATTTGAAAAATAAAAGCATTTCTTATTTAGGAGAAAAGTTAAATCAAAGACAATGAAGATCGGAATTTTGTCCTTCTCGCCTGGGGACAGCTTGTCAAATAAGATGTATTTAAAAAGTTTGCATTACAACCTTGCTACACACCCGTTACTTACACTTGCATTTTTAAATTGTTGAATGTTTCTTTTAAGGGCTCAATACTGCTCCTAGAGATTTGCAATTGCATTGTATCTGTATAATAATTAGTTTTATTTTCATCTATTCCGTAATTTTGAGGCTGTTCTATTATAATTTTAGTTTTTGTGGATTTGGATGAACACACAGGAATATTTTCCAGCTGAGGTGGTTTTTCCTGATAATTTCTTTCTCCATCTCTTTTCCCCTTATATCTCCCTTTTTTTCTCGTTGTTTTGCCTCAAGGGTAGGTGAAGATAGAGGAAAGGGGCGAAAATATAGGCAAGTGGCGAAACGGAAGAAGATAAAACGCAGTTGTCGCCACGAAAGCTGTCAAGGTGTCAAAATCAGGGGCCGTTTATCGACCGCACTCGGTCTCGGCAAACTTGATCTATGCAGTAGATTTTTGTTGCCAAACGCTCAACTATTCTTAAAAATCTATTTTTAACGCTGCGCTGCTACGTTCATGAACACACGTAAATGCTCCTCGATTTGAGATTTCAAAATGGTAGATGGATACGCCTAAAAGTGATGCAGCATTTTCGCATGACAGCAGGAAAAGTAGAGAATACTGCCGTTCTAAGGAAAAAAGACGTAAATGAACCCTCAGCTGCTGCCAAATTTCCTTTGATAACATTTGAATTTTAGGAAAGTTGGTAATTTTTAATATTTGAATTTTTCAGAGAATTTTTTTATAATCAGAACCAAATTACCTGGAGGAAACCTGACAACTCTCGAATGTTCATGCGGCGTGTCTCCCAAGCACGGCAGAAATTGACAGCTTTAACTAGTCTTAGCCGATCTACACCTGAGGTTGCCTAATTTCTGGAAAAATTTTTCCTCTATTTTCTTAGACAATTTTGTTTACGCTTCATTAATAAATATCTCACAATTTCAAGGAAAAATATTCATAACTTTCCTCAAAAAGAAATTCTTTTCGAGAAGAAATTTGGCAACATTCGAATGCTCATACGGCGTTTTTCCCCAGCAAGGCAGAACATACAAAGCATTTTTCAACTTCAACCAGCAGAAACTTTAAGTTCTGTTGATTAGTCGGTCTTATTTCTGCTAAACGGAACTATAGATGAGTGGGACAAGAGGGGTGTGCTCTAGAGAGCTGCATGAAAAACATCGTAAAAGTAGACGTGATCCTTTTAATGAAAATGGAAAGAGGGATTTTACAACTAAGCGCCAAAATATAGGGCACTCATGAGCCATGGACATGTGACAAGAGCGTTGTGGACAGGGCTCATGAGTTAAACCCCACAGGCGACCGCGGTGGCGGTTTCGTCACCGCTGACGTCACTGGCACTTTATAATTCCCATTCATTCGCTGCGGTCCTCAACTAACGAGCACACTCTTTCATTTCCATCCGTTTCTGGTTCCTTTTAGCAGAAATACATGCAGTTCTGCTAATACGACGCCACAACACTGCCGTGCTAAGGAAAAACGCTGTATGAACCTTCAGGCGTTGCCAAATTTCCCTTGGTAAATCACGAACTTTTGGGCAAAGTTGTAAATACTTTTCTTCCAATTTTTCAGATAATACAGCTCGCAATTTCAACTAAAGTGTTTGATAATTTCATTGAGAAATATTCATAGCTTTCCTCAATTATAAAACAATTATCAGAGGAAATTTGGGAACTCTTGAATGTTCATACGGCGTTTTTTCTTAGCACGGAGGAACAGATAATTTTTTATTTCTCAAGGTTTCGATCGAGACAAAATGACAGACCCTAAACGCTATAGATAGCTCCCAATTTCGACGCACTCGCCCCCACGAATGTTAAAGAGACCACGAGAGCTGAGCCGTGGGGGCTGGTATTTCTCTGAGATCCCTTCAGGGTAACTCCAGCGGGTCTTGACGAGTGAAATTTGATATCACAAGCTCCACCGACAGGTTTTTTATGATAAATTACGTTGCTGCCCCCCTGCCCCCACCTTGCACCTCTCCCCCTGGTCCCTGCCGGGAATAAATCCAGCCCCGCTTTTGTATATTAACATCCCGCCGAAGCAGGGTATCACGTCCGCCTTCGTTTCGAATGCGTGCGATGTTGTCAGATCGCCACATGTAAATCTGCAAATGAAGTGGCCCATTTTACAAAGGAGAAAAGAAAGCTTTAACTAATTATAAGTGAGTGAGAAAAGTATCACATTAAAGTCGTTTAGTATTCCTAAGGGTATGCTATATTAACATCCTCTTGCACATTGTTTTATTTTATTAAAGCATGGCCTGAGTCGCAATCATTGCATATATTTGTAAAATCGGCTGACACCTCAACTTTTTTTTTTCAAATTATGGGTAGCCGAAAACCGAAACATCTTGCTAAAAATGATATATCTACGGCGTAAATCCGCAATCACATATTTTCTTTGTGGTGTCTGAAAATCTCCGCCTCTATGGTATTTTTTTTAAAGAATAACAAATTGACATGATTCCTTGGAGTTTTTGAAGAAATTTCTTCGCACAGAGAAGAAAAATCACGGCAACTTTAAAGAATTGCCGTTGAGTAGTTTTCCGTTCAAAAAAATAAAGTATGACAGGAAATCTGCGACGTCACAAACCGAGTTATGTGCTTGTCGACTTACATCGTCGATATCTACTGGGGCTTTTCAATGAAGGAGTTTGCCGGGCACATTATACGAACATGAACGAATTTTTATAAAAATAAGTGTGAAAAATTAGTTAGCAGTATGACGTGCAACAAAACCGGCCAATTAAAAAGTGATGAGCGCAATTGAAATTTGCGACTGATTATGAATGGACTACATTTTGAAATTTGGAACTATAAATTCTAGCCCGGTTTAATAACAACGTATGCGCCATTAGCTCCCCTATGCACATAAGTGTTTTTCTAGAAGAGTCAGAATTTATAGTTCCGAATTGCAAAATGCAGTCCAAATGGGCTTCGAGGGAATCGATAAAAGGTTAGAAGCGGCAGCAGTGCGGGGAAAATGCTCTTTTGCCTAAGTTAATGCAGTTTGTTCTCTAACTTAATATTTATCTTCCGAATGCATTTCCGTGGGGAAACACAAAGCTCTCAGAAATGATGAAACATAATTTTTTCCTTGCCCTGCCATGCGATTCCGTACAATCGCGGCTTCGCTTTACCGACCGCGTGGTATTCTTGTCAAAAGCTACTCAGTCTCTTTCTCGCTGGAATGAGGGCAGAGTTGATTTTTCCACTCAAGCGATTCGTTAGTAAGCCATTCGCTCTCTTGCAAACACTATCCGAGAGCAGCGATTTTTATTACGACTCTAAATTTAAAATACAAAGTTTGACTGCTTGCAATGCATCATGGTCGCAAACTAATCGAATTTAGGTGATTTGTTGCACCTGGAAAGTGTCTATAATACGTATTGTTTGTGCCTATTTTATCGGTATCATTTCTGTTTTGTGTCAACAATTTTACAACTCCTCAAAGAAAATAATATTTTTCGTTTTATCTTGGAAAAATCACGGCAGATTTAAGAATGCTCACATTGGTTCACCACTTTAAATAAGGAGTAAAAAATTTGCAACGTCGCAAATTGCGATTTGAATGTTTTTCACTCACCGTTGGCGCTGAGGAAATGTGTAATACATGCCATCAAGCTACAGCGATACTGTTGAAGGCGCTCTGAGCAACTTTTTTGGCTCGGAAGAATTGCACAGTATCGAATGAAAATGAAGGCGTTCTAACGTATGCAAATTAACCCGTATCGATTACCATTACGCATAGTCCACAGCCTGTATCACACTATTAAAATACTCCATCAAAATGTCAAGATCAAGTGCTGCGACTCGTCCAAGACGTCAAATAAGCCAATCACAACACCTAATCTTGATATTTTGATGGCTGGTTTTGATAGTGTGACACAGGCCCTAGTCCTCCGCAAAATCTAACTGAATTACAAAAAAGTCCGAAAGAGTGGGTTAGGTAATTTATGACCACTCTCCATGTAAGCGTATCTGTGCTAAAATGAACTATGAGTAAATTAACTAGGGTAAAAGAAGATATGTGCAAAGGACATGTATGTTACATAGTTCTTTGTGATTTAATTCACTTTATTTTCGTTTCTTTTTAACATCAATCTATACCAAACGCGGTATATCACGGTCCGCGTGGGTCAATTTTTCCGTAAGGGCAACGGGTGCAAAGATATAAAGACGGAGCACTCGTGTCTACTGACACGGGGGAGAAGTGATGCAGTCCTGGCGCTCTGCGTTTGTGTG